TTGCACAGTAAGTACATCATAAATAACTGTTCTTTGATTTAATAGACTTTTCTCACTCTAGCACAGGATCCCACTGTCCTCAACCAAGACGTGGGCCATCCGAAGGCCACAGCCCTATTCCACACAGCTCTTCAATCTCTGCAAGAGAAGATATATTCCTGGAAGGTTATATTCTGAAATGTAATATAAAGAGTAGTATTTATTGTGCTGGGATAAACATTTTTTTTCCCTAGAAGATGCTCTCATAATAAATAGTATTGGAGAATTTAGCTGCCTCCTAGGGATTTTCAACTCATCTAGTTTAGGAGCTAGGACATGTTTATTTGAAAAAATAATGACCATGCTAGAAAGGATATTATAGATGCCAAATAAGTAGCACAAGTAAGCAATCCCTCAAGAAATTCAGAAGGAAAATCACATTTACTAGGGTAATCAGAAAAGGCTTCAAAAGAGAAATAGCATCTGAGCTGGGCTTGATGTATGATCCAGTTTCAATAGGCAAGGAAACGCACAGTATGGTCTGGGAACAAGGGAGCAGGCCAGTCTGGACAAATGGAGTCTGCAGGTGGCGGAAGTACTCCTAGCTCCTGGAAGCCCATTTAATCAGTCCCTGAGCCTGTATCCTTCCAATGCCCTAGATTAATTTTGATTCTTCCTAATATCTCCCAGAGTTGTCATTTCTTCTCCATTCTCACTACCTCAAAGCAGTCCAAGCTCTCATTCCCTCCTCTGGATAGATCTCCAAACTCATCCTCCTGTTTTCAATCTCCCCCATCTCCAATCAACAGTGTAAAACTCATGTTATTTTACACACATAACCCAGTCACCCAAACCCATCAAAGACTAACCACTGCTTGTAAATTAAAACTACTCACCCTCTCATTACAGCCCTTCTAGCATCTGCTCTCATCTACCTCTCACTCCTTCACTGGATTCATACCCACTAAACATAATTTACAAATTTCAAGCCTATGTCCATGCTGTTTCTTTCACCTAGAAAATTCTCCTTATTTTGTTCCCAGGTGGCACACATGGTTGTACAGGTTGCGAACACTGTAGTTTATATAAATAATACCTTCTCCCGTGTTGGGCAGTGCACAACCTCTGCAACCCTCCAAAGATGGCTTGTTTCCATCCTCCCACACCTTGAAGGCCTTCTCTGAACAACTAAACTGCTGGTCAACTCTCTGATTCCTACATCACCAACTTGACACCTTTTCTTTTAAAAAAAAAAAAGTTACAATATTTGAAACACCAACAGTACCTTGAATACAGCAGATACTCAAAAGATTCTTGCAAATTACAATGGGCTAAGTTAAAAAAAAAAGAAAGAAAGAAAGAAAGAAGAACACATATTGTGACATTAGCCTTGAAGGCCAAGACAGAAGTTCTGACTTTATTTGGTAGATGTCAAATATAACCAATGATCAGAATGTTGTTTTTAGAAAGACTAATTTCAGCAACCATAAGCAAGCAGGCGTTGAGAGGTTATACTCAAAGTGCCAGTCTAGGGCCCTCGGGGTTGGAGGCCTGTGGGAGGCTCCCTCTGTAATGTGCAACCTTCTCAGTCATCCAGTCATCCTTCAGTTGACCTGTTTGGCATTACAGATACTGATTTCCATATACCTACCATCAAAGTGAAGCTTAAAACTGGGCCATTAAGCCAAGAAAAAGATGCTTTTGCCTGAAATATCTGCGTATCTAGGAAACAGTTCTGACTTGAATAATTATATACATACATGAAATACATATACACAAATTAAGCAGTACTCTTATCTTCTTTCTTCACTTCTTTTGCAGTCTTCTTCTTTTCCATCTGTCTCTTCCCTTTTTGGTCTCTCTCTTTCTCTCT